TCTCTATAAATACAGGACCACCGACTTTGTATATTTCTGCAGATATGGCATCTGCCCTTGGGGCTTTGCCACTGCATAACTGGTTGACAGCTTCTGTGACTTCAGCTACTACTGGTGGGTCATCCATGGCACTGTTGCTGTTATACTAGGGAATCCTGCCTATCACCTTATCGTTAATAGATGCATACCAAATAAAGGTTCACTAGCTACATCTCACCCCTCTCCTGCCTATAAATTTTCTGTAGGTTATTAATTCAAGGAGTTCTCTTTTTCTACACATTTTCAAGAAATCAGTGGATTTCTTTTTACTTGGAATGGTCAAATAGTACAATTTTATTTTATTTTTAATGCAACTAACCCTCAAAATTACAGCAAATACTTCTGGGATATGTACATAGCAAATGAACTTTCAGTTTTGACCGAAATACAAAGAGGTGCCTGTTTTCATTTTATACAGCTGTCAACTGATGATTTATTATTTGAACTAAGGATGGATTTGTTTTTAAAGAATAGAATGGGGAAAAAAGAGAAGAAGCCTGATAATTCGAGAAACATGGAGGATAAAGCAGCACAGAAGAGAAGCAACACAGGCAAAAAGATTGCTTTATAATCTTTTGATGTACAAGGCAATCATTTTTAATATTCATAAAGATTTTGAAAATACATAACCACAAGCAATCTGTAGAAAATGTAAAAATTATATCCTGGTGTAATATGTAAGATATTAATTTGCTGCTTCCCTATTGAAATGAAAGAGAATGCTGTAAAATGACACTACAAAAGTACTTAGTACCCACAGAACAAGGAAAACAATTACTTCGGGAGATGTAATAGGAGGAACCAAAAGGAATTATATGATAAAAGCCACAAGTTGATGTTCCAAGTGCTACTTCAAAAACTGAAATATTTCTCAATTGTTACAAAAGGTGATCTTGCTAGGGAAAACTCAAACACGTGTATAATTCTTTGTATGTTCTTGTCTCTGAAATGTATGTGCTACCAACATTCAAAAAGACCAATTAAAATTAAAAAAAATAAAAATTAAGATTTTTAAACCAAGCTAAGATACAAATATATTTCACAACAGAACTGAAATTGAAAACACATTAAAACAGCTCACTGTGAACCAGGGGATGTGATGTTTATTTAAAATGAATACATAAAACTATGTGCTTTTTTTTCACATGACCACAGAATTAAATATGACACAATGTCAAGACACAATGAAACTGATATTAACTATAGTTTCTATTAATAAGTTTAAATGACTGTAAATATAATTTTCTGAGTACTTTCAACATTCACCTATAAATTGGGAACATAAGTTTTTATTTTATTTATAAATAATAACATTTGAATCAAGATACACACAGTACTTAACAAATGCTATCATGTGGCAAACTATTGAAGTAATATGGAATTGTTTAAGATTTTTTCTTGAGGAAAGGAACACGTACTGCTGATCTCTGTTACCATGCATGCTGTCAAGAGTCAGGCACTATTATTAAACTTCGTGGCTCTATAGCTATTTATATTTCAGTTTTGAATATGCCTTAGGATAATATTAATTTGTATTAACAATAACTTGTAAATCTAATCAAGCAGAGAATTCTCAAAGTTAATGGAGGCCTCACATACACAAAGATGGGACTTAACACTACTTTTTTAAAAAAAGACTTTTCTTCATTCCTCCACACCAGGCTAAAATGAATTTTGTTTAGGATTTTCTATAGTCAGAAACAAGTATTTCTGTGATAAGCTAATGAAATGCAACATCTTTTCTTGTTCCTTTAGTTACTTACCACCCTTGAAAGAACAGGCTTCACTGATCCTAATTCTATCTGAAACTGCAACATAAAATTGGAATTTGAATTGATCAAAAGAACCCCTATCAAGTACTGCTAGGATTTCCTTGTTATGATAGCTTCCCTTCCACCTCTGCAGTCCTGAAGGACAAGCATAACTTAGCACCTCAATAACCAGGTACAGCAATAGAAAATGAGAACACACAAAAGGATCAGTGATCATTAGAGTTAAACCTTCTATCATTCAGGATCTATTGTTTGATTCAGTTGCACCTTTGGGCATGTTCAACTTAAAGTATCTGTAACTTGGACAATTCAACATTACATGACCATTTTGATGACAATAGACTTGTTTGTTTCTTTACAGAATACTCCTAATTTAATTTTTGATCATAGATGTATAAACAAGTGAATAGGCAATTCTCAATGGACTAAAAATTTAATAGTTTTTTTTGCTAATTTTATTATAAAAAGAAAAAAAAATACATAAAGTGCTTCAACATAAAAGTGAAAAAATGATATATTAACTTTTTTGTTGTACTTTTTCACTTTTATGTTAAAGGACTCAAAATTCAAGAGTTGAAAAGAGGTTTGGTGCAGTGGATAAGGTGCTGGGCAGGAAAATGGAGACCATGAGTTCTAGTCCTCCCTTAGATGAGAAAACTGGATAAGTGACTTTGCTCTCTATCTTGCTCTCTATCAGCCCAACCTACTTCACAGTATTGTTGTTGTAGGGAAAATAGGAGGCAGGAACATTACTATGCTTATTTATTGTTTTGATATGTTGTAAGCCGCCCAGAGTCCCCCATTGGGGGGAGATGGCCGGGGACAAGTTTAATAAATAAATAAATAAGTATGTATGTATGTATGTCTGTCTGAGTTGACCAAACAAAAGCAGGATAAAAATCAATTCAAATCGATCAATGGTGCAACTGACAGAAATTGTATTATGTTATCAATTTTATTGGCAGAT